ACTAAAACGATGATTAAATTGTAATGAATAGCGTAATAATTTAAAAGTAACCGATATAAATAAAAAATAAATAAATAAAAAAAAAAGGTTATTAAAAATGGGTCAGTTATGTGATTTCCTTAAAATATATTTTACGTGACGGTTTAAATGGAAATGTTTGTATTTTTTTTAAAGGGGACAAAATGTTTAAATTTACATAAAATACAAAATTGGAGCGTTCAGCAACGCTGATATGTACATACATTTAAATATAATTCCATCGAAGTTTGAATGCAATTAACAGAAAATTTAAATAATATCTTATAATTTATTGAGATAAATTAGAACAAATCATATACAAACATACATATGTACATCTGCCAGCAACGCGAAGCAGAATATGCGTTTCTGCTTTACTATCGCTTACGCAGTCGTTGCCTAGCGACGTTAACTGTAAACTTTTGGCATTTTGCCTTTGAAATTAACAGTCGTGAATGATCAAAACGAAAGAAGAAGCGCGAGACAATGACATGCAGTTGTTGGTGTTTTTCGTTTTAAAAATTAGATTTAAACAACAGTGCTCGATTGTCCAATGTATACATACATACATACTTATGAATATACATACATGCTTTATATGTACGTACACAGGCATACATACATATGCGTGCATGTTTCTCTTTACTTTTTCAACCGTACGTAGAGAACCGCACACAGATACGAACTGTTGCTTGTTCTGTGTGTGAGTGTGTGTACATGATGTCCCCAACTATTTGATATTTGCGTTCTTTGTAATTTGTTGTTGCTGCATAAAGTTACTAATGAAAACCCTAATGCCAAATGTACTAAACAAAGCAAAAATTACTTTTTAAAATGTTAAATAATTTTTAATTAATTAACATTTCTTGCTCTGTCAGTACAAGACGAATGAACATACATACATACATACACATGTGTGTACATTCACACATTAGTGTCTCACATTTTGCTTTGGCTATTTCAATTGCTTGCACGCAACTACACGAACAGCTGCTTGTATGTGTGTGTGTATGTATACTTAGTTGTCCCCAACTGTTTGATATTTTGTATTGTTTGTTCTGCCTGCATTTGTAAAATGTATATTTTGAAAATCCTTGAACGCAAAGTTTTAGATTTAGTTACGTAGATTACAGTCCCCAAATTTGAAATCGATCGGAAAAAATTTATGACACAAACTTTTCATTTGAAAAGGTGAATAAATATTAAAACCCCAATTTTCCAAAATCCCTTCTTAGTGGGCACCTTCACTATAATAGGATCCTTGAGCCCAAATTTCAGCTTCGTAGCTCTTGCTGTTTGGGCTGTGGGTGCTGACGCGGTTTCCTTTTATACATAAAATGTACAAGAGTATATTAGGTTTGCGGGAGCTGAAAATGTAACAGGCAGAAGGAGGCGTGGCAGACTCCACAAAGTATATATATTCTTGATCAGCATGACGAGACGAGTCGATCTAGCCCTGTCTGTCTGTCTGTCTGTCCGTCTGTCCGTATGAACACCTGGATCTCAGAGACTATAAGAGGTAGAGACACCAAACTTTGCACAAAGATGCGTTATGTGTGTACGCTGTGCAAGTTTGTTTTATTTTTTTGATTTCATCCTCATTGCTCAGACACACGAGATATACACTGACATACACAGACACATACAACCACACACATACACGCATAATTATTCTACACATATGTACAGAGTATTTCAAAGTCGGGATACCCGACTTTAGCTTCTCTACTTGTTATATATGAGACCACTCTTACAGTACATTAAGAGTTTTTTTAAATCTCTCTTAATACTCTGATGGTAGCGCCGCTTTTCGAACTGAGTCATACTCAGGAACGAACTCACATTGTCGGATTCCTGTTAGCTGTCCCTAGATGACTGTCCCTAGATGACTTCACTACGAATTTTAATTTAAGTAAGTTTTCCAATAGTTTTATCACCCACTCACGATACTCTTTTGGCTCGAAATCCGATGTTTCCAGTAAGTAAGTTATGCAAAACGCCTTCCCAATGACCAACGACTTCTTGATGAAGCGCTTTGCAGAGGATTCCGAAGAATCCGGAAGCGGTACGATGCCGGTTCACGTTTAAATAATACGTTGGGATAGCCAAAGCTTTCCAATATCTGGCCTTGTGGCGTAACAATAAAACAAACAGTATAGTTTACGGCGATGCCGGAGCAGTGTATTTTTAAGGTATTACACCTGCTTAATTTTGGTGCAGCTTAAACTAAAGACAATAATTGCAAAGCTTAATTCTAAATAAAATAATTACAGGCTATCGCCTCTTGCGGCACAGCAAGAGCATCAGGTTACCGCTGCTGTCTGTTGCAGCTAGGGCGCTGAACTAAAAATTGTATGTGTCAGCGCGTGCAAGGGCCGCTTAATAATTAGGTGCGAGGGTTACTTTTAGGAATTACATTACACACACATTCACATTATTGGTTATTAGATTATTGTTTGACTTGAAATCAAAAGGAGAAATTTAAATTGATTTTCAAAACTGTAATTTAAACTCATAATATTCAAATTATTTCAAAATTCAATGCAAGCTTAACCATCTCGATAGGTGCAGCATTAAGTTTACAACAGTATATTAATACATAAAATTTCTTTTGGCCACATATACGCATAAATATACAAAGCAGTCATATGTACGTTTAAATTAATACACGAAATGCTTCCGGTGTTTTGGAAAATATTCATGCATATATATATGAAAACATTGAGATTAGCCTGTGTAAAATATTTTCGATACCCAACTTATCGATTTTCTATTCACATCGATTTCGACATTTAACGTGTGCAAACATATACATATATACATACATTAGAGCTGGCAAAAATTCAATTTTGCCTACATCGATTTTTTCAAACTAAAAAATCGATTTAATCGAAAAATTTGCTTCAACTGGAAGGAGTTTTTCAAATATCATTTCAATATAAATAGAAATTGCTTTCAATTAACAAAGGAACAAAAGATTTAATTGCTTTCCAAGAAAAGTACTTAGCTTAATTAAAAAACAAAAAAAACAAAATTCATTGAATTGATTAAATAATAAATCCGAATTCACAGAATTCAATTGGCATCAATATCATTAATCCACCAATTCTTGTTGATAAATACCAACTTATCAACATTTTTGGGTTTTAATGAAGAACGGCGGTCGGATATGATTTGTCCAGCTTTGCTGAAAATTCGCTCCGATTCCGTGGATGAAGCAGGAACGCACAAACAGCGAAGTGCGCACGAAGCTAGTGCTTGCATTTCGCAAGAATTGTACTGAAAGGAAATGAATAAAAATTACCGGATCATATGATAATTTAAACCAATAAACATACGTACCCGCCAGTATTCAAGTGGATCAGACTGCTGATTTTCATTCATTTTTTCCTTGTATTGTCGGAGAGACACAATTGCATCTACTCTGCTGCTGCGTGCCTTACTCGCAATGTTTATGTGCATAAAGTTTAACACGGATGGTTGGGCCTCAACAGTCACTACTGGCGGCTCTTCGAAAGGTGTTGGCGGGGCTTCTGGAGGTGGCGAAGCTTTTCCGATGGAAGTCAAAATGTTTTCAACTAATCTGACGGCATGTTCAGCATTATTTGAAGACCGAAATCCCTCCTTTTTAACTCTCGGGTCAAGGATAGTTGCAAGTCGTGTTGTGGTGCGCTCTTCAAATTTATATAGTCTCTTTTTAATATTTTCAATTAAAAACAAACAAGCTTGCTTCCCTTTCTCCGTCTTCAGATTTGGTTCCTGCGCTATCAGGTTTTGTGCCAGGCCATTTGACAGTGGGATCACAAATGAAATTGTTACTTTGGAGCTTGATGATATACGATTGGTGGCATCGTCGAAAGGAGCTATCAATAATTTTAGGTCCTCTAGTAGGCTTATATCATCTGCTGTTAGAGGTTCTTGAGCCTATGATATGCTCAAAAGAACTAATGAAATTGGCTCTTTAGTTAAGAGAACCGCTTTTGCAAGATACCACAAGCTTTTATCATGGCACTTGCATTGTCTGTTACTATGGTCGACACTTTGGATATTATGTTCCACTCTTCTAAAGCTGTAAAGTGCAATATTTTCAGCTGAGTGATTTGTGCTGACCAACAACGATATGGTCGACAATACTGCTGCGCGTAAAGTAAAGGTCCCATCAATAAAATGGCAAGTAATTGTTAAATAACCTTCATTAGCCCTCGATGTCCAGCAATCTGCTGTAATTGCGCACTGCTCTGCTTTTGCAAGCATACCCTTTAATTTGTCCTTTAAATTGCTGTACATTGTTTCCATAGGTCCATTTTTTATTATGTTTCTAGATGGTTGGACATCAATGGCAATCATTTTCATTAATGCCATGTCTAATTTTTTTTTGCGCATCGACTCACTTTTGTACTGCTCTGACATTTTAAAATATGTTTTTATATTATTGTCTGGCAGTCCGTTAGTTGACATTTTTTCAAACGCGGGTGAGACCGCTTTAAATGGTTAAGCATATTTGTGGTATTGCCGCATGTTTTGTATTTAGTGCCACATAAAAGACACTTGGCAAATTGACCATCTTTAGCCTTTTCAAAATATGTCCATACCTTTGAACCTTTTCCGTTTTTTCCCGAGAAGTCGCCAATCTCGTCATTGCATTTGGCGCCATCTTAAATTTGTAAGAAACAAATTAACCTGCAACCTGTGTAAGGCTGTGTATGAAACTTACCTATTGAACAATGTAAAAATGCATCCATCGGAAACCCGCCAACACCTTTTGTTTCACTTTGTTTATCTATATTAATTTTACATTGTTAAATATAATAATATACCTACAACATATATGTATATACATTTTTTACTTACTCTTTACTTTCGCCTGATTTTAAGTTATGATGTGAAAATCTTCGATTAATCGCGAATTTTTTCAGAATCGATGCATCGGCCACTTTTAAAAAGATCGATTTAATCGAGTTTTAAATCGATTTTTTGCCAGCTCTAACATACATATATCCATATTTACATTTACACGATTTGTATATAATAAAGAACCTTACAAAGAAATTTGCTACATTTGCGAAATATCAGCTTTATATGTTGGTGACAACAAAACCAGTAGTAAATTAGATAATATTGAAACATAAGTTCATAAGTACATCTTCCTCGTTCTAGCTTATAAGAATAAAATATTCAATTTACTAATGCAAATTTATATACAGTTGTGTAAAAAAACTAACTAGCAATCAATTTTAGTAATGGGCAGCATTGAAAAAGCGTGCATTTCGGGATTTCTATGCCGCCTGTGCTCTGAAATGCACAGGACCGTGATTCATATTTATGGAGATCATGGGCAGCGCCTATGCCTTGTGGAAAAAATTAACGGCTATTTACCAATAACGGTGAGTGTCTAAGAAAGTAGAGACCCGTACTTTTATATCTTAATGTGCGTTATATGACGGAGAACTACATTAAATATTTTACAGATATCCCCAACAGATCCTCTGCCAAAAACCATATGTAGAACATGTTTATATCGTGTTGAGCAGCATTACTCCCTTTTAATGAGACTTACGCGGATGAGGGAGGAACGCCGACTAAAAATACAAAAAGATGCGGTAGGTTTGCTAGGATTGGTAAATTACGAGCAGGAATAATTGGTGAATAATTTTGTTCAGGATACTTGCTCGATATCCAGTGCTGAATATTCTGATGAAGAGGAGCCAGTATCAACAAAAAGTCATGCCGAAAAGAAGGACATAAAGAGTACAACTAAAAGGTCGACAAGTGAACCTGCGAGCTCGAATAAGTCGCAAGCCTCAATTCAAACTAACCAAAACAGTGTTGAGTCCAACGTCGCTGGCTCAAGTAATCGTCTGGTCTCACAAGCTGTAACTGGTACTGCTTCCAGAAATAGTGCCACACGACGCACGTCAGTAGAACTTTCCCCTATGACGTAAATAGAATAAATGATTTAAGGAGTATGTTTTCTCTATTAAATTAACATGTGTATTGTACGTATTTTAATAATAATAATGTATTTGTGTAATACCGTTTTTTTGTATCATCCATCCATCTATAAATCAACTTCTTCGGGTTACAGGCCTCGCGACTCTTGTACATGCATACTCATTCATAAAGACATGTCTTTGTGCATATGTATGCATATTGTGTACTCCACGTTCTTAAATATAAACCTCATAATAAATGATAATTCCTCCATACATACAGTACGGTGTCTTTAACCAGAAAGAGAGTGTGTAATAGTACACAATTTAAATTAAGCTAAAACGATCTACGTTTTAAAAGTGGTGAACGTATGTATATGCATTTATGTAAGTCATCGGAATACACAAGTATAGATATGTACATACATACATAAATATTAATAATTTGATAGACAATATACATATATACGAGTAGTTCTGTCAAAACGCATGTTCATAAGCTAGTCACCACTAGATCCAAGGAAGACCACGTTTCTTTTCGATGCATTATAAATCGATCATAAATCCAATTTAATCTAATAGAACCTATTTCATACCCTGTACACATAGGAGAAAAAGGAATATTAGATTAGTGCGAATGTACAAATGTAACCCACAGAAGGAGGAATAGCGGACCCTTGAAAGTATTTGTATTCTTGATCAGTATGACAAGGCGAGTCGAAATAGCCAGGTCCGCAAGGACCTCAGCAATAACTAGAGTAATCAAACTTGGGCTAAGCCCAAGAAAGGACAAGTCGGATTTATTATTTTTTTATATTTGCTATCAAAAACTACTGCTAATTTTAAAAATTTCGAATTTTTGTCTGCGAGTTACTGTACCAACTTAAGAGTTCAGCCCACTCGATTATAGAATCCCATCCTTGTTTGATCTAGCAGACGCAATTTAAATGCAAAAGATCCAGATGCAAGGTTTTCTATTTATTATGTGTACCATATGATAGAATTGAGTAAATACAAAATTGGACTACTATAGCTTATTTGGAAAAAATTGATTGCACACACTAAATATGTTTTACGCGCACAATTTGCAATAGATCAATCAAACGTATTTGTATAATAAACAAATAGAGAAACTAAAGTCGGGTATCTCGACTTTGAAATACTCTGTACATATGTATGTGTGTGTAGTCATATATACATACGTATTCCTGTTAAATCGGCCTATCATTATGGAACTTGGTATACTGAGATATTTTCCGAATTTCAAAGAAAAATTCTAAGAAATACAACAGGTATGGACAATCACTAATTTCCTTGGGGAGGGGGAGGGAAGGAAATTTCAGGTGTTCATACGGACGGACAGGCAGGGCTAGATCGACTCGTCTTGTCATGCTGATAAAAAATATATATACTTTATGGGGTCTGCCACGCATCCTTCTGCCTGCTACATTTTTCTGTCTGTCTGAGGCTACTCTGAAAATGGATTTGCAAATAAATTTTAAATTTTTTTCTGAAAATCAATTAGATCAAACAATAAATTAATACGGAGGAAAGGGGTGCAACTCTTAAATACCTTGTACCCACTTCCACAGAAAACGAAAAAAAACAAGAGAGAACACTACAGTCGAGCAAGCCCTGTACCCAGGTAAACTTCCGTCACTGAGTTATATGCGCCCATAGCAGAAGCAAAAATAGGAAGAAGAGCGAACTTGTTGCTGCAGTTTGGGGGGGGGTTGTACTGGCGAGAATTTGTTTTGCTAATAACTTTTCTTAGAATTGACCAAATTGAATAAAATTTTGAACAACAGTAGACAATTATATATAAATTATGTGTGCAAAGTGCAAAATAAACTCGTCCTTTCTCGGACCTAGGAGAATCTGGATGCCAACTTTGGTTATTCTAGCTTTTATAGTTTCTGAGATCCTTGCGTTCATCCAGACGGACAGACAGACGGACATGTCTAGATCGATTTCTCTCGCCATGCTGATTCAGAATATATATACTTTATGGTGTCGGAGATGCTTCCTTCTGCATGTTACATACTTTGCACAAACCTAATATACCCTTTTTACCCTACTGGTACAGGGTATAAAAACAAGAAAGGAATGCTAAAGTCGGGCAGGCTCAACTCTTAAATACCCTGTACCACCCCACAACAAAAAAATTATTAAAAAACTTTAATTTATTAAATTAAATATAAAATATTCCATACATGCATACATACATTTACATCAGAATCGTGTCTATGCATGTTAGTGTACTTGTACATATGTATGTGTACATTACATAATTATGTCAAAGCAGCAACAAATACAACTGCGGACAGAGCTTGAGCCTGGTTATATGGCTATAACTTTCTTTCTAATCAACCTATCATAATAAAACATGGGATACGGACATATAATCATTAATTGGATGTGACTAAAATTCCAAGAATAACGGGAGTTATAAAAAATCAGGAATAGCGGGGAAGTGGGGGCTGCATCGGGAAAAATGAACAAACTTGCCCTTTCTCGGGCGTAGAAGAATCTGGATACCAAGTTTGGTTATTTTAGCTCTTATACTTTCTGAGATCCTTGCGTTCATATAGACACGGACATGGCTACATCCACTCATTTTGTGAAAAGGAATTAAAACATATTTTATATCACGGCACACAATTTTATTGACCACGGCAATGTTGTGGATACTGAATACATAAGTATGTACATAAATATTAGGAATGCATGTATAGTATATCAATAAAAAATTCATAGATTTTAATTAAGGACGTGGGTAAATATAACTGTATTATTATTAATTTACAAAGTACAAAAAAAAAAATTCAAATTATATTTTAAGAGAAAAAACCATGCTTAAAAATTGCTCGTAGTGTATAGTGATGACTCCATCCATATCGGTATCGTGCTGTCTGAATGCGGTTGTAAGTGTCTGAAAGGCAAAAGAATCATACATCATACATAAATAATTACATCATAGATATATATATTTTTGTTGTTGCCTACTTCATTATTATTTTAATGATTAACTTGTTTAGTGTTACAGATAACACGTCACGCATGAGAGAGTATTAAAGAAATTAAAATTGCTTCTATATGTCAATTGACAATATTTAAATGTAATTGGAGTATTCATTCATTAACAACTCTATGGAGGTAGGCATAGAGTTAATTCATCATAAAATTTTATTTATTCCTTTACGATTCAAATTCTAATACATGGACGTCATGGCAACACAGGGATTTTCAATACGTTTTTAAACTGAAATACCGGATTTGTCTACCCATTATAAAGTTCTTCTAAACCCATATAAATGCATTTGTGTAGGCGCTTACATAAAGGACAATACAGCATTGTATGAAATCATCAAACAGTATGGTTCCTCTACCAAAACGGTCAAATTTTCTTAACAGCACGTCTATTAGATGGTCAGATAAGCGGTATCCGAATGATGTTAAGGCGGTCTTGAGTTCCTGTTTGTCTATATTTCCAGAGTTGTCCCGATCAAATGAGCGAAAACAATTTTGCCAATCTGTTACATATTTCCACAGAGCTCCAAAATCCTGAAATGATACGGTGCCTCTGTTCTCTCGGTCAAACATACCGATCATTAACCGCACCGTTTCCGGATTAAAAGGGCTCCAGGTACCGTTTGAGAGAGCCACCTGTAGCTCATCTGCAGATATATGCCCACTTCTGTCTTTATCAACCCTTCGCGTAAAAGCAATATAAAATGTACATATATTAGTGTATCATCACATTAAGTATACTTACATATGTACAAGTATGTATGATATAAAATGCTTACCTTTGAAATACGTCCCAAAGGAATTGCTGATCTGGCATGCCACTTTGTTGATATGACATTGTAAAATATTGTTAATTTGTAATCTATTCTAGCAATCCCTTTGTGGAATCTGACTCACGAACTATTGATGGCACTACCGATAGATTTACCTTTCGAAATAGTCGATAATAGTTTGCGCAAAAAATACAGGCCATGCAAAGAAAGCATAAAACATGAAGCCATGTTGTAAGTTAATAAATAACAAATTGATACATTTATTAAAATAATCTTTTATTTTTGGTGTTCTCAAATTTGAAAATTCATGTAGACACATGTATGCATACTTACATATACATAAATATACTCGCAATTACTTCTGCCCTCATCAACTTGCAATAATCTCGCTTAACACGGGGATTGCGTTCCTAGAAAGCCTCGTGTTAAGCGAAATCGGTTCAACGAAACAAAACTCAATTAATCAGGGATGCCACAGAAATCTCCGGAGATTTCAGCTAAAGTTGTTTTTAAAATCTCCCAAAAAATCAGATTTTTAATTTTTTCGAACTTCCCCTCCAAGCCAGCTGTCACACAGCTGACTGTCGACGTTTACATTAAACTAATTAATTCTATAAATCCTGTAACGCACTCACCTGTCAGCAACAGCTGACTGTTGACGATTACATTTGACTGATTAATTGTACTTGAATTCTGTAACGCACAAAGTAAATAAACAAATATTCCATTTGTATTAACCAGCGAGAATTTGCGGAAACGCCAATCAAAATACAACGCAAATGTTTGAGAAACGCATCTGATCCCATTGCTTATTAAAAATTTAATTTATTTGTAACATTTTTTATAACATTTAGAATTTTGCGCAATGTCGGGGTGGTAGCAATATATGTTTTCCTCTGCAAAAAACTAGCATTGGAAATTGAATTCTAAAATTACAGACCTGCCCACTTGGCGACACACAATTTTCGGCAAGTTTGTATAATTAATGTTGCATCGGTCTGGTCACAGAAAAAAAGCGAAGTGGCAGCGCTACAGGAGGCGCCGAAATTTCAAGTTGTCGCAGCAGCGCCACCTAACGGAACCGCGCGGGGGGGGGAGGGGGGGCGCTGTGCCAACTGCGGTCGCACATGCGCAGGGTTACGCCACAGTAGGGTAACGTCAAGGCCGTGATGAACGGATACGTAAGGACGTAGAAATCCGCAGTTCCTGTTTTTGGGGCGACATGTCGGACCCACAAGGGGGTGACTTTTTTGTTTATTGAAGGCGGTGCTGAGACCTGGAATTGTCGCTTCTAGACTGTGGCTGCAGCACCGCCTCGCTGTAACGCATGCGTGCCTCGCAACATAACGGCGAGAGTTTGTCGACGAGTTTGTCCGCGGCCTGCCCACTCGGCTCTCTCGTCGTAGATAACCGGGTTACCGCTTTCTGCAACCTCTGCCAACGGAGGGTGGTCGGGTCACGATCCTGTACGTTCTACTCCTCCATGGCATCCTCCTTCCAATGTCTTTACTAATGTCCTGTAATGTACTAAAGTGCTGCGAACCTCTTCCCCTCTTGATGCTATTGCTTCTTCTGTGTTTGTGTTGGGTGGTACACTTCGTCGCTTTCAGCTGATCGATAGTGCTGCCAGACACTTGCTGCAGCGTTGTGTAGCTGCAAAAACTGCCAACCAGGCGTCAGCAGCTGTTGCACCACGAGGTCCTATTTTTACATTTAATGCATTTTTCTGCAATTGATGGCGCTTGCCGCGATTTTCCCCTCGACCGCGCTTTTCGCGCTACAAATTGCTGGGGTGTTCAGCGCTCCTCTACGCCTGAAGGTACCACTTCCGGAGTGTTAGGGCCCTAGCGGCTTTTCGTGGGTGGCTGCCCCGGTGAGTACCCAGCGGCTTTTAATGGCTACCACGTCGGCCTCTGCATCGCCGGCGTCCGCGCCACCCTCGCAGCTGCAGCGTCTGACCGCCCACGATCATCGTACCGTTGACCATGTGTACATCCACATGCCATCCAGCCCCAACGTGAGCTCATCTATACATCCTGGCAGTGTCACTTGTCGCAATCGTTCACGCGCATGCCCGCACTGCCGCAATCGCAGCAAAATTGGATTCAGACAGATCTCTGTGTAGAGCCCCGACATTTAACAGCGCCTGCAGGACAGCCATCGTGTTTGCGGCACGGCAAATGTACATGTGGGCTGGACGCTTTCCATACGCGGGCCCGTGCTGCCATCGAAGCGTATGCCTCACCATTCCAGATTTTCTGCCAGATACCGTCGCCGGGCCACCTCCATTGTAACTGGATGGATGTGTTGCACCTCGTTCCGTGCACCGTGTGGTCACAATGATTGATTTAACCTCAATTTCCTTTGGGGTTCCTGCTTGGGCGCCACTTGCAACGATGCTCTGCCGCGGGTATGCTCGCCGGCCAGAGTGTGCTGTAATTTCTGTTGGGCACTCCAAAGGAAAGAGCCATCAGATTGTTCCAACGAGCGGTTGTGTTTTCAATTCTTTATTAAATTCTAGCCTGCACGGGCAATAGGCAGCCTTCCTCTTTTCCGCTCTAAACTTAACTAAAACTCCATTTTCCATATCAACTTAACTATCCTTATCAATACTCCTACATCCTAAGCTTAAACTATTGCCGTCCTGCTCCTTTGTGACGACATCATGTACGTACAACAGAGCGTCGTTACAATACACCGTTTTGCGAACCGCAAAGTGACCCGATTCGTGAGCGTTCTTGTTTACCTCACGCTCCATCAGCTTTGGGACGACCAGCAATTCGCTCCCGTTTACTTCAACAGCAGCCCGCCTTTCATCTTATAGTTCTCGTATGACCCATTTTGTAACATCTTGACGACTGCTTAAAGTTGCTCATAATTTTGTTATGCTTTTTTAAATTGTACCGACAAAAACTGTTAATATCATAAACACACTTTGTGGGTAACGGGTTAAATGACTGACGTGTCTCATATCAATACAAAAGTCTTGTAAATACGGAACCATTGTAAGATTTCTCTCGGCATATCCTGCTTGCTCGAGGTCTCCTTAAAAACGATGTAATGCGTCACCAGCAGATAGTGGCGGAACTTTTAAAATGCCAAATATGCAGCTTTAACCCCCAGGACTTAACTATACGGCTTAGATTCGGCTTGCGACGTTTTCTTGCTCCAATAGTAGATTGAATGGAGCTTTCCATCGAACGACTGCAACAACAACGCTCCAAAACCTTCTTTAGAAGCGTCTGAATGTAACTCGGTGGGTGCTTCTCTGGCGTAAATATGTAAAACTGGTTCACTCTTAAGTATATTTCAACAGGTATTTCAACATGACAAATTTTAAATTTCACGTCTTTCCTCAGAAGATTTGTCAGTGAACGCAGCACCTGCGCGTAACTCGGCATAAAAATCCCGTAAGGCAAAGGAACGCCTTTTTCCACTTTCTCTTTAGTCCTTGTACAGCAGCCGCTTCCAACACTTTTCTCTTATTCTGCAAACACTGTTCATCTGAGGAGGCATAGACTATAATGTCGTCCATGTAAAGTTGCATAATGTCTCCGTTTATAAGATTCTGGAAGATATGGTTCAGAAACGTATAAATGCAGCTGGAGAGTTTCGGAATCCAAGCGGCGCCTTGTTTAGCTCAAATAGTCCTGCTCTTGTAACGAACGCTGTGTAGAGTCTATTGCCTTCTTTCACAGGCACATGAAAAAATCAATTTTGCAGGATCCATTATTGTAAAATACTTGGCTGCTTGTAGTTTCTCCAGTACATCTTCAACCATGGGCACAGAAAGGCAATTCTGTAACACCATACTGTTCAGTTTGCGGTAGTCAAAGCATACACTAAGTGTCTGATCCTTCTTTTTGACACCGAATAGCCATCGAAATCGCTTAGAATTTTCTCAAAATTAGCGGCCGTAATTTTGATTTGGTTTTCTTTGCGTTCGTCCCCTTCAACTTGTAACGCCGGCTACTCTATAAGCTGCCGAATTTGTGCTGTGACACCACTGTCACTTTATATACATATCTGTTTCGCTGATTTCCAGAGACATTGTTGAAGGAGGCAGAAGGAGGCGTGGCGGACCCCACAAAGTATATATATTCTTGATCAGGATGACAAACCGACTCGATATAGTCATGTCCGTCTGTCAGTCTGTATGAGTGCAAGGATCTCAGAAGGTACAAGAGCTAGAATGACCAATCTTTAAATCCAGGTTCCCCTGAGCTCTAGGCAGGTCAAGTTTGTTTTTGTATTCTAAATCATCCTCCCACTATCATGCAATTCGTGTTTTTCATAGCTTCCGTAATTCTTGGAATTTTGAACTGAAATTTGGCATATAAATGTAAGATGGGAAGGCAGGATAGTGAGAATGGCGGAACACATAGAAGCAGCATCGCCATCAGTACTCGGTACTCATTTGGGTTTTAAGCAGTCAGTAGAAATGTACTTAGTTGTCAGTAGTAAGTTGTCAGCCGCACTACAAACACAGTCGTCAGCCGTAAAGAAAGAAGCAGAAGTCAGCAGTCAGAAAAAGAAGCAGAGAGAAGTCGTCAGAGAAGTCAGCCGTCGAACCAGAGTGAATTAGCTGCATATGCTAATATTCGCCATCATAATTTTGCATTATATTCCTATTCTAAACTATATCATATATCTTGGTATCGTCATCAATAATAAACATTATATGATACACAAGATCACATTTGGGGGCTCAACCTAAAAATTTTGAAAGCTGTGGAGAAAAAGGCTGTGAAAAAAGTGACAAAAAGTGCGTGAAAAGCAACATGCATACTCTATGTACATTAAATTCAATTAAAGTTGCATGAGTGCCAGAAAAACAAGATCAGGCTACAAACCAAAGCCGACGCCAGTATCCACAGTTGCAAAGCCGAAGCCAGTGCGAGTGAGTCAGTTTATTCTAAAAGGAAAGGCGCCAGTAGTCTCAAGGACAAAGAAGCCGCCGGTTTCAAAGCGGTCGACGCTAACGAAAATGAATAACAAAGAGGACAAAGAAACCGTTATAAGTGAGCACGCACTGACAATATCATATGAGGCGATGTTGCCAGAAAGGTCCGAGGGCAACAGAGAAAAACAAGAAAAAATGCAAGAAGAAACGAATAGAACTACAACAGCCAAAAACAGCGTTACCATGCAACAG